CGGGGAGGGCGGGAGAGCTCGTTTGGGGGCGGAGCTAGGGCGCGTGCGGGGCAGCCTGGGGGGCCACGCGGGCCTCGGGATGGCGTCGGGCCACGCCCCGCACCTGCTGTGAGGGTTTGGGAGGCGGCGTCCTCTCTCACAGGATCGAAAGCTCATAGGACAGAAACACGAGTGCCGCTCCTCCCCCCGCCTTACAAGGAACCCAACAGGGAAACAACCAACAAAAACCAATGGACGCACACATTTTAAGTCGGGTCACGGTGTTTGGTGAGCGGTGGTCGTCAACCTGACTGTACTTTGGAATCAATCACTTGGGCACCTTTCAAAAACATCACCGCCCCAGCGCCACCCCTAGAGGATCTGAGGTCTGAGGGGTTTGGCCTGTACAAACCTGATTTAAAATATATATATATAATTTATTTATTTGGCTGCACTGGGTCTTAGTTGTGGCATGTGGGATCTAGTTCCCCGGCCAGGGATCCAACCATGGCCGCCTAAATTGGGAGCACGGAGGCCTAACCACTGAACCACCAGGGAAGTCCCAAACCCCGTGTTTATAAGCTGCCCTGGAGGTTAGTGATGCTAACGTGCACCCGGTGGTGAGACCCACTGGTCTTGGGAGTTTCAGCGTGGCTGGGTCAGGACTTCTGAGAGGCTGAGCGGGGGTGAGAGCTCCTGCCCTATATGAGTGCCCTGGTCTTCAGCCCGGCCTTGGTGGTCCTTGCCTTCAAGAGCTATTTAGTTAATACGTTGCTGTGAGACTGAGCTGCTTATTCTCTCCTAACCGCCCTTCTCTGGCGGGGTATGTGTGATTGTTCTATTAGGCAGCTAGAAAACATAGGGCAAGTGGAGTGAGCACGAGCTCAGTCAGGCCACTGTTACTTGGACTGCTGACTGGTTGCGAGCCTCTGGTAAGGATTTCTTCATCTAGATTGAAAACACGGGTGGGAGGGAGGGAGATGCAAGAGGGAAGAGATATGGGGACATACGTATATGTATAACTGGTTCACTTTGTTATGAAGCAGAAACTAACACACCATTGTAAAGCAGTTATACTCCAATAAAGGTGTTTAAAAAAACCACATTTGACAACTGAGCAACAACAACAACCCACTTAAAATTTGGGCAAAAGGGACTTGAATGAATGTGTTCGCCTGAAGGAGACATACAAACGGCCAATAAGCACATGAAAAGATGCTCAATGTCATTAGTCATTAGGGAAATGCAGATCAAAACCACAATGAGATACCATTCCACATTCATTGAAGTTGCTATTTTTTTTAAAGAATAATGATAAAGAAGATGTGGTATCTATACACAGTGGAATATTACTCTGCCATGAAAATTAAAATCTTGCTTGCGACAACATGGATGGACCTAGAGTGTGTTATGCTAAGTGACATAAGTCAGACAAAGAGAAATACTGTATGATTTTGTTTGTATATGGAATCTAAAAAAGAAAACAAATGAACAAACACAACTAAACAGAAACAGTCATAGATACAGAGAACAAATGGTGATTGCCAGAGGGAAGGGCACTGGGGGGAGGAGAGAAATAAGTGAGGGAGATTAAGAGGTACAAAGTTCCAGTTACAAAATAACTGGAACTTTATGGGTATGAAATGTAGTCTGGGGAATATGGTCGATAGTTATGTAATATCTTTGTATGCTGACAGATGGTAGTTGGGCTTATCATGGTGATCATTTTGAAATGTATAGAAATATCGAATCACTATGTTTTGTACCAGGAACTAACATAGTGCTGTTATGTTATACTTAACAATTGTGGTTACCAGAGGCTGGCGGTGGAGGGGTGGGGACTGGATGAAGGTGGTCAAAAGGTACAAGTTTCCAGTTATAAGACAAATTAGTACTAGGGATGTAATGTACAACATGATTAATATAATTAACACTGCTCTTCGGTATATATGAAAGTTAAGACAGCAAATCCAAAGAGTTCTCATCACAAGGAAAACGTTTTTTTTTCCATTTCTTTAATTTGGTATCTGTATAAGATGATGGATACTCACTAAATTTGCGG